AAAAAAAAAAAAAAAAAGATTATCCTTCATTTCCATCAGAGGGCAGCCCTGAGCCTCCATCCCTTACCTGGGAGAAGGCAATGGCTGGAGGTGCAGGGTTCACAAGACAGGAAGTGCTCCACCTGAGGTCCACCACCCCTCAGATCGAGGCCCAGGGAAAGCGTCACTGAGGCAGATGAGTTCCCCACGAGGAAGTCACCTCTAATGTAGGGTGTGCTAAATTTTCAGGAATTTTGTGAGTGGATCGTTCAACTGTTGGTAGCTTGAAACCAGTTATAATGGGAGTATTTACACCACAGAAATTGGGAAATGTGGAGCTGGCTGTTAACCATTTACCTGATGCCACCGCCCCTAACCTAAGGCCTGCTGCTTCACTCCTACTGGAAAGGCAGGAAGGAAGCACGCTTACTTTCCTGGGAGTTGTTCCAGGTGGGGCTTCGGAAGGCCCACTCCAGGCCACCAGCAGAGCCCAGCACAGGGCTGGAGATGACCCTTCCATCAAACTCAATAGGCCTCAGATCTCCAGTCACTCTCCACCAGTCTAACCAACTGTTTTCCTCCCTGCCCTCAGCAACCCTGAATTTCTCCAATCCCCACACCCAGCCTGGATCAACCCAGTCCCCCAGGTGCCCAAGACCATCAGCTCCAAACCATGGCCACCAAGGAGCGCTCATACCCCAGTCGTCAGTGTTCCTGAGGACAACCCTGAGATGGGACATGCTTCTACTCCATATCCCAGTGGGTTACCATGGACTGTCTCAGCACCTCTCTGATGGGTGACTGTGAATAAGACCCAGCACACCCAGCTCAGCCCCTTCTCTCTCCTGGCTCTGCCTGCCATAGGGGACACACTGGCCTGCCCAGGCGGGGGCACCCACAGGTGCAGAGCTAGGCCACGCACACCCTCCTACCCAGCCCAGCTCAGAAGGAACATTCATGATCATTATCTGACCCCTGGATCTTTCAAGTGGTTCAGACTCCAGACACAGGAACCCCTGAGCCCCTGGGAAGCCCTGCTCAGCCTTGCCCACTTCTCTCTCTGCCCTCACCTGCTACTGCTCCCTCTGCCACATGGACTTTCTTCCCGGGCCTGGAAAAGGCCAAGTGAATCCCCACCTCAGGCTCCTTGTTTTCTCTTCTCCAGTTGTTTCGCTGCCTGGTCCCTCTTCATTTCTCAGGGCTCAGCTCAGACAGGCTTGCCCTGCCCACCCCCTCTGTCGAGAGACCCTGGCTGGTTGTCTCATGGTCTCTGAAATTACTCCACGGATCATTTACCTGTTTAGTGCCCTCATCCCCTTGGAGTTCTAACAGGACACAGTCTTAGTTTTGTTCGCTGTGACCCCAGTGCCTACTGTAGTGTCTGAAAATAGCACATGCTTAATACACATTTGTTGAATGAATAAACTGAATACTATTTTGAAAAAGATGATTTCTTTTAATAGCAAAATAGTACGTTGTGGAAAACTTAGAAAACATAGCATAGAAAATACAACTCAGAACGTTTATCAGTACAGATCATCAAACTGCACGTCTCAGCTGCCATTTCACCGCCTCTCACGTGCATGCAGACACATAAACAGGACATGAGTGTGCGTGTGCACAGGCACCGAGTCCTTCCAGGCCTAAGGAGGCTGGGTCCCTCAGGGCCCCCACACTTTTGCCCCTACCCTTCTGGATCCATCCTGTTCCTGAGGACAACCCTGAGAAGCCCCTTCACTGAGGACTTTCTCAAGGCTAGGGCTGTCAAGAGTAAGGCTTTGCAACAGAACCTGAGGTAGCTATGGTCGACCCCATTTCCAGGCATGGGAACTGGGCCTCGAGAGGTTGGCTGATGTGACTGAGGCCACTCAAGGAGCAAACACAAAGTCCGGACCCCAACAGTCTGGAGGCCTCAGAGCCTCGGTTCTCTCTAGCCTGTCAGTCCTGGAGCCTTCAGTCACCTCGCGTCTCAGCCTGATGACCCGCCTGCCCCCTTCGAGATGCTGCTCAGAGCAACAACGAAAGCTGGGCTGGCCTGGAACCCTGGGTCCAAGGAGCAGGCAGTGCCGTCACATCCACCAGTCCATGGACTCTTTGGGGCAGGCCCTGACAATGACCATGCAGTGGGGCAGCCCCTTACACAGGATCCTCTCGGCCTCCTGACCCTCCCAGCCCAGCCCCTGCAACTCAAGGACCCTGAGCTTGGGCATGGTGAGGCAGGAGGAGAGGATTTCAGCTGGGGAGGGCATTTCTGGGGTGACGAGCGGGCCCAGCAGGCACAGACTCTCCAGGGTCGGCATTCCCTCCAGGACTGACAGGCCAGGGGCAGAGAGGCCCCTCACGGTCAGCCGGATCTTGCGCACATCTCGCAGGTGGCGACTGATGGCCAGGAGGGTGCTGTCGGCCGACAGGGTACAGCCCAGCACCTCCAGTCTCTGCAAGTAGTTCATCTCCTGCAGGCCTGCATCCAGCCCGGTCTCGGTCACACGGTAGGTGCCCCCAAGCACCAGTGAGCGCAGGGCACGGAAGCGCGTCAGGCCCTGCAGGTGCTCATCACGGAAGGCGGGGACGCGGTCCAGCACGATGCACTCAAGCAAGGGCAGCACCGTGGGGTCCTGCTCCTTGAGGAGCCAGACCATGGAGATCTCACAACTGTGCAGCTCCAGGGTCCTCAGCGTGCAGGGCAGGCTGGTGATGGGCACCACGGTCAGGTCGGCCACGTGCAGGCAGAGGCGCTTCAGGTTGGGGCACTTCTGACCCAGGGCCCTCATCAGGGCAGGGGACAGCTGAGGGGCCTGGGAGCCCGAGAACAGGTAGCCGCCCAAGCGCAGGGAATGGAGCCGCGACGCCATGTACCGACGAAGGAGGTGCCACATGACTTTAGGCCGCATCTGGAAGAGCCACAGACAGGGGTGACTGGTCAAGGGGCGCTAGCTCCCAAGGCCCCGGCCTGCCTGAACACAGACACACCCCACGGGTTTCAGGTGTTCCCCAGCGCTTCTGCCCTTTTCCCACCGCCTCACCCTGGGTACTGGCCTTCCCAGGGCCACAAAACCATTCTGACTTTTAGGACTTTGAGCAAGAGCAATGGGGGGAAGAAAATGACAACAGCTCTGTCCCAAAAAGAGTGAATTCTCATTCTGTCTCCTAGACAAGTAAGGAAGAAAAGCCACCGGCCCGTATCTTACCCTTTAGGGAACATGGACATGAATCTGAAAAGCTGGTAGTGACAGCTGAGTTGGGTGACTTCAGACCTCAATTAAAATTTCATTTTCAACTTAACTCAGGATTTCCATTCCTACCCTTCTAAAGAAACCATTCAGCCTTTTTGTCAAAGTTTTACTGTTTGAAAAACAAGGCAAGAGTCAGGGTTTCTAAAGCAGATAAAGAGTTACTCAGTGTCTGTTAAGTGTTTGTGCACCTGGCCCCGAGAAGGCACCAACCACCTCAGCAGGAGGACCAGAAAGAAACAAAGTCAGACCTTGTACATAACTCTGCAGCTAGGGAGGTGTATTTCAAGTCTTGGTTCACATCTTGACTCCCAAACTCAATTTTACTCTCTGCCACTTTCTGCTGTTTCTGCAAATTTGTAAGTAAAGTAGCAGCTCAATTTGTTAAGGTAAAGAGGCTGCAGATGTGAGGGTAAATGAACCCCCAGCAGAATGTTTTGTTAACCCCCAGGACATGCAGGACAACAACCTCAGAATTTAACAAATAAGCTTCCGGATAATGTTTAAACCTGCAGTCCAGCAAATCCTCCCGAACTTTTGCT